AGTCGGGACAATAAGGCTTGAGAAATGCCAGTATACAGTGCGTTACAATAATCTAGTCTAGTGCTAATAAAGGCATGAATTGCCTTTTCAAAATCACTAAAAGAAAGAAAGTTTTTAACCTTAGCCAAAAGTCTCAATTGAAAAAAACTGGCTTTAACTACAGACTTTATCTGTTCGTCCAGCTTAAGAGCACCATCAAATACCACCCCAAGATTTCTCACATGAGGCCTCAGGTAGGAGGCCAAAAAACTAGGAATATCAGAACCAGTGACACCAGAGTTACCAATTACAACACATTCTGTCTTACTTTCATTAATATGTAAGAAGTTATGTGATATGTGCATTTCAGAACAGGTTGTGGTAGTTTTTACCCCACTTCACTTATTCGACCATTTACATAAAACAATCAGATATAATGCAATATAATGTTAAAGATTACACCAATGGTTCCCAGTCTTTTTGGACTGTGAGCCTCTACAGAAAAGCTCCTCAGGGCTCCTTGTCATCTTTCAGATGTCTTTGAGTTATTTACAGTCCCGTATCTAAACTTCTCAGATGTTTTCATTTAAATAACTTTTTTCAGGCACTAAAAACAAATTATAATATTCAACAATATAAATGAATAATATTTCACACACAAACAAACAAACAAATAAATAAATAAAGAATATACACAAAAAAATGGATACAAATGCGAGTTACATGCCCAGCTGTCGGAATGGGATCCACTAGACTGAGCTACTAAACAGTACATAACTAAAAGCAGCTCCACCTCGGCTGGCTACAACAGTAATAATATTATCCGTCACAGAAGCCTACTGCAGTACTTTTACTTTGATGCTTTAAGTGCAGATAATACTTCTGAAGGACATTTATTTTTAACAAATTATATTTAAAGTAATGGGAGTGTGTCCAAACCTTTGACTGGTACTGTGAGTAAATGTTGTGAAGACTTCTCTCACCACAGATTGTCTGCGTGGTGGTACCAGTACGAATAAGATATAACTTGGGTAATCTGACTCTTTAATTGACCTTTCTATTACACACTAGTTTAGCCTCGAAAACTCTTGGATAATTATTACAATGTGTAGGAAATAAAACACAGAAATTCAAATATGATTACAAATATCTTGACTTCAAATCAGAAGTGAAATTTTAACCATCACTATCAAAAAAAATTGCTCCTCTGTCATGTTTTTGACATAAGGTCGCTTTACTAAGAACACGTTTTTCTTTCTCTTCGTTCTTCGCCAGATCTTACAGTTTGTACGGAAAGTGATGAGACTTTGATGCAGAAGCATTAGTCAGAGAGCAGGTTGGGTCGTGTGTGAGACATGCTGTAAACAGGACAAGCAGCAAGCAGACTGATAGAGGTCGGGGGCGGGGGAGACAGAAAGACAGGAAGATGTCACCAGGTAAGGAAACACTGACACAGAGGATGGGTAGAATGTGTGAGAAGGCAGAGAGAGTAGGGGAGAGTCACACCTTGAGGAAGTTAATGAAAAAACTGAAGGAGAACAGAAGACGTCTCATATTGAAGGTACATTTTTTGTTGCTGTTGTTTGTTCTGTTAAATTTACAGTATATTTTATTGTCATCTTATTTATGTTAGAGCAAATTTTGTTGAGGCACTAAACTTTATGGAACGTGACCTGCCTTTCAAAACGGTGTTTGTAGCTGACCACTTTATTATTTGTCATTGATTTTAATATTTTCTGAAATTTACTCCATAGAATGGGACTTGTGCATTTCTGTGTGATTGTCCTGATGTTCTCTGCACAGCTGGTGCTCAACTCTCCAGTGGTAACGAAGTCTCTCCTCTTTTCTCATTTTATTTACCTATATGTTGTATGCCTTTCAAGTACAAGAAATCATTCAAATTGTTAAATGTAGAAACAATGCTTCATGATAAGTTACTCAGGGCTTTGCTGGAGCATTTTAGTGTTTCATGTCTCCTTCTATCAATGTGTTTACAGATACCGAAGTTGTGCCCCGCAGGTAAAAAAAAAAAAAAAAAAAACTTTTTGTATTTATTTTTGACTCACTGTTTTTTATTGAATGAATCAGCAATGATTGCCATTTGGAAATAACTATAAAGCATTGAGGCATATAGTATGTTTCTCTGTTTATGTCTGTTTTTCTGGACATCTTTTTCTGTCTTGATGAAAAGTGATGCACGCTGTGTGCTAAGTTTGCACTGTATGACCACATCCTTCTTTAATATGCAGTCTCTGCTCTAATTGTCATCCGGTGTACGCATTTGTTTCCTTCTGTTCTGTCAGGTGAATATCTGACCGATCATACACAGTGTGAGCCCTGTCCTGCTGGATCATACACAACTGAACGCAACCGTGAAGACGCCTGCTATCCATGCTTTGCAGACTGTATACCAGGTAAAGAAACTATGAGCCATGTCTACTAAGTAAACAGTTTCATCTGCCCTTGTGAGGACTGCAACTTCAAGTTTCTATAAAAAAAACTGAAAACCAATTAATAGCATTGCCAATCTCTTTGCATTTGCAGAAATGAACTTTTGCAGTGATTAATCTGACTAAAATCACCTCTGTTTTCTCAGCATACCATCTGAAGGTGGTCCACAACTGCACCTGTACATCCAATCTAAAGTGTGTCTGTGAGGAAGGTTTCAGATGCATTGACAAGGACACCTACACAGGCAACTGCAAAGAATGTGTCAAGAATCAGGAAACAAGCGCAGCTGGTAACAAAAAAACGAGCAATGCAAATGTTTAGCTCTGTCAGATGAGACATGTTCCAGCCAGCAGAGGGCGCTCACCACATGCAGTACACAATATACTTCTGAAGTGCTGGCATTAGTTACTAACATGTCAGTAATATATATATTTTTTTTAAGTTGTCAGAGCTTTGCACTGAACTCTGGCATCTCAGTGAGGAGAACAGTAGTGTAAGAAATGTTCCTATCCTTTACAGTAACAACAGAATAGTTGAATACAGTAGAATAGTAAGAACAGAATGTGAAAATACCTCCTGCTTTAACTCCTACTTATGTGAACATATGTGGGTAGTAGCAGGAAATTACACTCAAATATAAACAGTAATTGTACACATTTCAATGAATGGTCCATCAATGAGCCATGTGTATGTATGCCATCACTAGTGATAACAAATAATGAAACACTTTCTGATAAAGAATGTATGCCATCACAAATAATGAAACACTTTCTGATAAAGCTAATTTATAAAGGGTACATACGCTGTAATTAGTTGCTTTATTGATGGGTTTTGATTCATTTCCCAGTGCACTAGATCAGTTAAAAAATATACTTTGAAAAAGCCAAGAGTTTATGAATGAATTTTGGTCCAGCAGCCCTTTTTCAAAAGACAAGCTGTCACAGTTCATTGGAGTGGTTGTAATGAAACAAGATTTTCCTGGCAACCCAAAAGTTGTTCTAATTAATGGTTTATAATGGAGCACAAAAAAATGATGTATCAAACCATTAATAAATTATTTAATTAAAGCTGATAAATGGTCAGTAATGACAAAGATGCATTGCAGTCATGCTGGAACAAGAATTTATCATAGTAGATGAAAAACTGGTGCCACAATGTGAAAATAATATGATAAAGAAAAGTGTTGAAGATTCTAGTTTTTAAGTTTTTTCTTTCTTTTTTTTTTAGCATTTTATGCCTTTATTGATAGACTGTAGAGAGGAAAAGAGGAGGGGGGTGTGCCTTGACCCCTAGGCCACCAACTCTATAACTGTTACCAGTTAACAGTGATACTTGATCTAATTTCAAAATAAGAAGAATGTAAATTAGAATTTGCAAACAGTAGTAACAGCTGTGAGCTAAATGTGTTCAGCTCTGAAATGATGCAGAGGTACAAGTACAAAATACTACTCAGAAAGTGGAAACCCTCAAGTGTCAGTACCTCAAAACGGAGGATGATGGTAAGAAATGATCCTCCAGCCTTATGTGCTGTTTCAGCATGAGATGGTAACATGAACTGTCAGCGGCATGAAAATGTTACTAAGCCTCAGGTTTTTTCCTGCCTCGTACTGTACGTGTTGCTTTCACTTTCTACGTTATGACCTTTAGTGAAGCACATTTCCCATATAAACTCTCAGATTCCTCCTAGTTGTTTGGTTTTATTCGGCTTATACTGGTATTTCTACTATAATGATGCCTATGAACTCATGTGAGGAAAACCTGCACGTCATAACGTAATCAATAAATGTGCTCACTCTCTCACACCTATACACTTTTTTTTTATCTGTATATGATCTCTTCCATTTGTTGCATTTAGGGCCTTACTGCTGCTAAGCCATGTCTGTGACAGTTGGTTTGATCCTGTGTTTGTGCTGTAAAATCTGAAGCCAACATTTTTTGTTCTCCAGTAGCAAGAGTGACCTCAGGAAGTGATAAGCAGACTTCCTCGACTTCCTCACAGCACAGCAGCACTTCTGCCAAACCCTGCCGATTTCCCAAGTGAGTCACAGAACTTCCAAGATACAGACCAAAACAAATACCTCACAAAGTTGTAACACTCAGGACAGACATGACCCCCAACATCTGGATGACTTTAAATGCTCTTCAAGTGAAAAGTGTATTAAGACTCTTTTAGCATTTTGTACAGATATTATACACTCTCCTTGTACATGGGGTCACACGTTTGATAAACTTGGTCATTATCTCCCACAGATGTGAACCTCGGCCAGTTTCACCAACACCCACCACAGGTGAGTGTGTGTTCTTGTACTTGCTACATAGTGATGACCAAACTATTTTTTTTGCTACAGAGTGAAGACATCTTTGGAAAGTGAGAATTTGGCTGGTCCTCACTTTGTTAAACACCTTTTTGAAGATTAGGACTTGGTTTTAGGGTTCAGGTTAAAATTAGGGTTAGGTGATAGGGTCATGGTTAGGCATTTAGTTATAATGGTTAAGTGTTAGAGTAAGGGGCTAGGGAATGCATTATGTCAATGAGTGTCCTCACAAAGATTGAAATACAAGTGTGTGTTTGTATGTGTGTGAGAAGAGTTTGTGGGCAGTTTTTTTGTGTGAACATCTGACTTTGCCTCTGGCTTTATCTTCAGATCAAAATTCTAATTTCTAATTGATTTATGACCAAATATATACAAAACTGGTGACCCTTCACCAAAACTACATCAAAGAACCCTATAACCTGCTTCACATCAGCACAGTACTGCTACTGCAAGCATATCAATACATACTGTGTGCCCAAGTGCAAGCACACCGAGCGCTGCAGCTGTGACTGTAATCCTGTTTCTTTCTCTCAGACACACCAAGCAGTCCGCTGGCAGTCATCTTGTGTCCAGTGGTTGTGGTGGGATGTGTGGCTCTTGTGATCCTGTTCTGCATCCGTCACCCCGGAGATGAAACATGTTTCAAGCGAGGTAATGATAGTGTTTGCATCCGACACGGTCAACATTTTGTTCAGATAGAAATGTAGGAATTGCTGTAGTATTTTCTAGCCTTTTAGCTGCCACAGTATGTAAATTACATACAGTTTCAGTCATGACTAATAAATGTATTACTCAATGTCCTGTTTTTCAGCTGTTGCAAAGCTATGTAAAGAGGTAAGTATCTAAAGGATTTTAGTGCTCAGTCAGTCATTTATTCACATACATTTCTCCTCTGCCCTAAATGATGATCATGCTCTTCTTTAGAGAGGACACAATGCTTCTGTCAAGTCAAGAGAGTCAACTCATCAGTTCCCCAGAGACTCATTCAGTGCAAAGCAGCAGCCGCCGTCCCTTTCAGCAGCCACCTTGGGTACTGATGAGTGAAATGAAAACTCATGTGAAATGCTTTGACTCACTTAGTGGAGTCATTAAGAAAATAAAAAGTAAAAGATGCAGCTGTGTTACTGATTGGAGTTTGAGTTGAACCTGCTCTGTAAACTTCACGTTATTGCACTTCACCAGTTCAATAAAAAAAAAATTGTTTATGTCCACTCTTGGTTTGTTAATGTCTCTGTAGGTCCAGTCCATGTCCACAATCCAGGGACAGTCATCTTCAGCTTGCTCAGTCAGTTTACAGGCCAGGTCGGTTCATCAGCTGAAGGAGGGAAAACGGCAGCGAGAATGAGCAGTGAAGAAGATGAAAGAGACTGTCCTGTGTTTCATCCCACATGCTCTCCTGGTATTCCTCCCTCTGAGGAGGAGAGAAGTAGCATTTTCTTCCCCTCCCAGGAACAGGGGAAGGACTGCCACATGTCCAAAGAGGAGGAGCTATGATGCATTGTATGACTCCTAGAAGATTTTTTTTGGTGGCTGTGTCCACTGGAATCCAGACTGACCCTAAACACATTCGTTTAAAGGAATGAATTACAAAACTGTGAAACAACAGGTAATCTTCTGTTGGGAAACTATGAAGGGATCACAGAGCTCTACAGTGACATTACTTCCTGCAGGTACTGGGAAAACTTGTGGTTAGTGCACAGAAGCAACTTTAATTCTGTGAAGAATGGCTGGAAGGTGATCTCTGTTGTAAGTTATAATTTTAAGAACTCTTGTATATAAGTTCTGTCAGCTCTTTCTAAAATATTATACTTGGTTTTTTTAATGTTTTGCATAATTATTGGGCATTTTCATTACAATAAAATTTTTATTTTGAACAAAGAAAAAAGTAAGTTATTACAAAACCTTCAGGCGACATGCAGCACAAATATACACAGGTATATTGAAAATATAAAGATGTGAAATACTTTTGTGTACCATAGTACATACTATTTGAGCAACATAGTGCACAATGTCTGACTTAGGCATAGCCATCAACGTGTCTTCCAGATTCTTCAGTCTCTCTTTTTGTGCACCTTTATCATCTTAATGTCACAGATGTCATACAGTCATGTTTCCTTGCAGGAAATGGTATCAGTCTTGATACCAACAATGTCTGTGGTTCCATTTGTCAGTGCGGACCAGAGTGACGTTTGGTTCCATTTGTTCTATGAGCAACAAACGATGGTTTGCATCAGCTGTGTATCAGTAAATGCCCTCCTGTCACATTCATTCATTCAGCATCCAACCAGTCTTTAAACTCATACGTCAATAGGTTGGTCACATTTCCCACAGACCTCCTGGACAGGCTTGGATACCTCCTCAACCTCACAGCATGGTGATCCTGGTTCAGGTTTTCCAGCCCAAATGTATCCTGAGCAGCAGGACAAGAAGCGGAGATTTTGTAGAAATTAGACTGAAATACTTGTTTATAATCACTTTAGATAGTAATAAAAAATATATTTATGCACAATGTTGTATGATAAATGTACTATCCTCAGTGTACTTCCTGCATTTGTATATTACTACAGGGTTATCCGTTTGATTATAATAATCTACCAACCATGCTTGTTCCTGATCCATTGCAGAAAGGGCTTGATTTTTGTTGCAACAATGAGTGCAATTCCTGCACACAGGAGAGCAATTATTGCCAGGAACCACACAGAATCTGTAAGAATATGTAAAGAGACATTTTTAGAACATTTATTTACAGTGGGTACGGAAAGTATTCAGACCCCCTTAAATTTTCCACTCTTTGTTATATTGCGGCCATATGCTAAAATCATTTAAGTTCATTTTTTCCCTCATTAATGTACACACAGCACCCCATATTGACAGAAAAACACAGAATGTTTGACATTTTTGCAGATTTATTAAAAAAGAAAAACTGAAATATCACATGGTCATAAGTATTCAGACCCTTTGCT